TCTTTCAGCACTGATATCGACAAGACAATCACATTATCGCATCTCTTAAATGTTACAAAGAAGAACCACAACAACGAACGCCCAACAAAAAACACGAACGAAACAAACGGCGACTATTGGAACATCGAGATCACCGAAACGAAGAAACTGGTGATGGAATTTAATGTACGATTTCTGATGGTACAATTTCGCTTTTGCTCACGCTATTTTAGCTCAGAATTATCCAGTTTTTAGTGTCAAAATCTGGCTGAAACTTTCGCATTGCAGTTAGCATTTTCTTCCATCACTAGCCATTATCACGATTGCAGCAAGCAGTAGAGTGTAGCTTGACCACTACTTTGCACAGTTGAAAGCGAGCATTTAACAAAAGTTGAAATAGAAACGAAGCAAAGCATAGAAGAACGATGAGAATTGTTTGTTGCGTCTTGTAAGCATGCGAATTTTTGTGCGAAGTTGGAAGGGTTTTTGAATGAACGAATACTCATGGATAATAAACGAGATTTGATCTTGTTTATTATCCATGAATATTCCTTAAATGAAAAGGCGACTTTAATAACGCGAATGCTAGCAGCGATAATAAAATTGCATATAATAACACTCATAAGAGTTGGGATCAGTGCACACGATAGATAAGAACGGTACGCAGTGGTGAAAGTTGATAACATGAAAGAAAATACGCAAATGAGAGAAGATGCATGGTTTATGAATGAAACTGCATGATGTGTTCGTAAAAGATTCACAGAGTGCGGCTTGCCATACAAAATCTATTAAAGGTGGATTGAAGAATGAGTGCATTTGGTATGTATAAGATTAAGATGCATAAGTGAATGCAAAATGATGAAAGATGAATTTTGGAAAAACATTTTTATGAAAATGATTGATAAGATTTGGTGCTGAAACAGCAAAAAATTGCATCGAGTCGTTGAAAACAATGTCGGAAACAGGAAGATTGATATCAATTACAGCACAACCACCATTAGCATTTACAATTACAAACAAATCTCAAATGTCATTTGCTATGTTGATATGACATTATGACCATTACTTCAATCAAAACCGCGAATTCTTTCGACTGGAATCATTTCGTTGATTTCAGGACCAAATGAATAATTGCAAGTGATGAATGAATGAATAAATGAATAGGCTGGTTGACTTGTTTAACAATAACGAGCATAATAGTTGGAAGAGTTAGATTGGATGTTTCGAGCTTTTTGACGGTAACGTGTTGATATTTAATGTTTTCGTATTCTCCTTTCAAAATGCATTTCGCATTCAACAACAAAACAGTCGTCGTCTTCCTCTAAACAATTCTTCAGCTACAACGAACGAACAAACCGTTCATTCGAACACCACTCATCAGGCAACTAGCGTTTGGCCTTTTGTTATTATAGGTGGATGATATGATACATGCAATACAGTTCTTCACTGAATCAAGCGTTCAGTCCCTGTGCGTTCCGAATGTTTTTTCAGATGTATGTTTAGACGTCTGCATGCACCATTCGTCTTCAAGCACATTCCTTCTACTGTGAGATAGATTTTTGCTTACCTTCAAATCTATTCCAGTACATAACATCTAAGTGAAATGCAACCCTACCTGCTGTTACAAATCTACTTACCTCTACGTCACTCTCAGTGGCACTAACAAAAATCATGTATCTTAAACAAATCTTTTCATACTCATTTTTTACAAGAACACTTCACAGATGTGAGGTTGAAAAGCTGAACTATTGCTCAAGTGAATATTTTGAACCTCAGGACAAAACTGCTAGTAGTATGGTGCTGATTTGAACCTGCATAAGAAGGTCTTGAAAACAAAGAACGTCTTGAAAATGAAATCAACTTCAACATGATCCTTGAAGGTATGCTCAGAGAGAAATGAATTCAAAGAAAGATCAAATTCAAACATGTGTCACTTTGGGTTATATTAATGATGATTGTTTTATGGCAGTTGCCTTCAACGATTTCTTCTTACGGATTCACGAAATCATAATCAATCGGCAATCGAAGATTTGTTACTTGAAACGACTGGCTAACTTATTCATTCATGAATTATGATGTGATGATCAGCATTTTTCGTTTTTGTAAGATGCTATTGCCACAAAAACAAAATATTGCTTTGGGAATTTTCATAAAAATCGCGAGCATTTCAGTCTTTCTCGACGGAAATCACTTGTAATTATAGCATTTTCATCGCAATTACTTAAAACTCTGCAACGCTTGTATTTCTTCAGAGAAAAAGATTATACGCATTTCTTCCTCATTGCTAAGCAGTAGAAAACGGTGAAAATTGAAAGAGATTAATATAAATTGAAGTGATAAAAATAAGGAATGAAAGACGAGCGCCGCTGAGATAATGGAGAAGGTAAAGTATCATAACTGATTTAAGTCAAGCGACTGATGCATCAGTTACTTGACATATCAGTGATAAAACTACTTTTGCTCGCATTATCTACCAAGATGAATGGGTATTGAACAAGAAATGAATTATGTGTGAGGTAAATGATCACTGTAGGAACAATGAATTGATTGTTCATTGGAGAAGGTATTCCACCGACCGCGTTTTATGACGATTATGATGGGTTATTAGAGGTGAAAGGTCAAGTATGTGACAATCTTCATTAATCTTCTTTTATACCTAGATAGACACGTCTTTACTCGTTTCTCTTCTGCTCTTGTATCTTTTCGCATAATTGCTACCATGATAAAAACATTTCATGGTCAGATCATTCGGCCGCAAAAGTAGTTCGAAAATAGCCAGAATTAGCCAAAACCTTCAACAGTTTTAACTTATGATAACTTTCAGGACAATCAATCAAATGATTCAATAGGAAAATACTTTTAAAGGATGCTATCGTCTGTATTTTTACATGAATTTGCCAAATGAATGTGTGTGATTATCTACAAGCGAAAAACGTTGATTGAAGAAATTTTAGTTATTCTATCTGTTCACTCTAAAGGAAATCAGTTTTCGAAACCGAAAAAATAATGCCTGCTGAAGAGAAGCTAATTAATTTCATGCAGAGAAAATCGTGCTTCGAATCTGTTGAAAAAAAAAAACTGAGTAAATGTGTGAAATTCAATCGCTGATTGAAACAGCAAGAGTCGATGATTGATTGAAAAAGTTTCCACAAAAAAAGTGCTATTCTCTACATTTGGAAGAACGGAGGAAAGAACTGAATACACATTCGCTGAGAAATGAGTTTACAGGTCGTCATTAAAGTTTTCACATAATTTACCGGCCAATTACATGACTAGTCGGAATTTAATGACCATATATATATGCTCAATTCTCTTGAAGACAATGTGCATGCAAATAACGTAGCCTCTAAACTTTTCCATTCTTCAGAGGCGTTTCACTTCTAGAAATCTATACAAGATTGAAAAATGATGAGTTTCTATCTCGTTACTGTTCCTTAGAACAATAATGTGGAAGTTATGCAGCAACCCTACTACCTCCGAATATCATTACATTGTTTAGCAGTAAAATTTTAACTTTTGCCTTTATGTTGTTCAAGCGCAACTAGAAATATAATAGTGGTGATGATAAATTTATTGAAAGCAGTCATAACAATATTAGGGAGAAGACCAGTGGAAATGATCAGAGCGTACGTTAATATCGCACACAGCTCACTGTCTGTGAAAAGCACTGTGAAAAGCACTGCTAAATTATAAAACAGTGTTGAAAGACTATGAACAAACTCTTGAAGATCCTTGTCAGAAAATTCCTCTTTTTCATCACATTTTTTCATGATCACCTCTAACTTGTATGCGAAGAGAATGAATAGTGTTTAGTGTGTGTGTGTGTGTGCATGAAAAGCATGTCGGCTTATCGATAGTAATGATCAAACCGACGCTTTTTGAAACAGCGCACGATTACAGAACGAAATATTTATGTATTTATGGTACAGCAGACGTCACAATACAGATGAAGTGTTTTATTATTCTCAATCACCCCGAAATTGCTCATGCATAGAGCAATGAAAATCGTTGTAATTATCTTCATGCTAATAACAGCAGAATGAACCACAAATGTCAAAAGTTTGTAGTGCATATCAAGAACATTTTTGCCACTTTTTGGCGTATACAGCATCAAGTGGTCAATTATGTTTTCTCATGCATACGAGAACATTGCAAATTATCACTGAATGCTTCAATTCATTAAAGTGAACAGAAAATCGCATTGTCGACAATACTTTTCATTGAAACAAAGTGATAAATGAGAAAAACAATCACAAAATTGAGGAATGATATGTATTATAGTTGGTTAATGAAAGAATTCAGTTGAGGAAATGAACACATTCGTTGCAATACTTATTATAACTTCTTTTGGTGAGCATAACCAATCCTACGAAGACAGTCAAATTTTTGAGCAACACACACAAATGAATTCTCAGCAAGCTGAATGAAGTTGGACAAACTGAACAAATTTCACAGTTTTCTTCTATCGTTTGCGTACAGAAGAAAGCATATAGATCTGATAAAGAAATGGTACTTGAAAGAGCACAATATTGGCAATCATTCACATTGGCAATTGTTGTTGTGTATATCAACAATATGCATTAATTAGACAATTATTGTGCGTGAATGAAACACGAACGATAAGTAGGGTTAGTATCACATATTTATCTATGTACGTATATGGTCCAATGAAATGAACAGAGGCGTAGAAATGTGCACCATTCGAGTCTATTCGCTTGATATTTGAATGAACTTAAATTTCATTTTTTTTAAATCGGTAAACAAGATAAGCAACGTTTCTTTGAACAGTTTTCTTGATTTATTTCTGTTCGAATTACAGAAAGAATTCCAGGCGGAGATCAAGTAAGATCAATTTTGTTAGCGCTCTTAATGCACCTCTCCTGCTTTCCCTTCTCATGTATTTCTCTCCTGGTATTTTTTCCCCTGCTTCAACGCCTCCAAAAATGAGCAGAAACTACTTACAGAGAATTTACGGAACACGTAGAAAAATTGATCGGACTAAAAGGGCATGATTCGGAGTATCACGTTTTGCTGTAGCACGGGTTGTCGAATGATCGTTCGCTTGCCAACGATTTCGTCTCAAGTTGAAAGCCATATTCGATTTTTTTGACTATGAACAGTATAATGATACGCCATGACGAGATCGTATCCCACTTGTGGGTTCGTATCGGGAACTGACGCGCCAGCTGGCAAAGGCCTTCCGAGACGCGAGTCCAGTACAACCGACCGAAGCCTTCTGAATAATGATCAGCAATGAGAACAAGTAATTGATCAATTGGGATTCGCACTCGTGATCTTCACTAACACGATTATCTATTCAGTTGAGCATCACTGACATCTAATGTGATCATGCTTCATCTTGGAGACTTTCTATTTCTTTAAATCATTTTTGATCACTCTCCTCTTATCTGAAAGAGAAATTTTCGAAGATATAACGAAGGATTTTAATAAATGATCGTTTTCCCTTCAATAAATGTATTAAATACAATCTCAAACTCACAAAAAGTTTATCGCTAAAATCAGAAATATTTAAATTCGATAGAATGAACCAACCACGCTCTTCAAGAATACCGTTTTCGCCCGCATAACTCACTAATAATGGACCAAGCGAATCATCTGAAATAGAAGAAAAATGTTTTCAAAGAAATCGAAAACATTCTGAGAGTTCTTGCACAACCATTAATTTTTGATTGTGAAATAAAAAGAGAACGAAAATCGATGCTTTATGAAACTAAGTCTGAAATTATTCATTGAATTTCAACTTTCAAAGAGCGATCTTCATCGAGTGTTTTTTCCGTTTTTTGTTGCGTTCCTCACACAACCAACTGCACCAATAAATTTCGGGAGTGTAGTCGGTAAAGAACAAATGGCAGATTCATCTGATTTCAAGACCTAATGAATCAACGCTTTCGACGGCCATTTCAATAATATCTGTGATAGTTCGTTCATACTGCTTCACCATTTCGTGATTTTTTTCGAACTCAAAACGTGTTGTTGAATATTTATGGCGAATATATTGATGCACCCATTCACCTGCTGTCACCTTACTCTTTTCTCGCCACTTACGGAATCCATTCTGTAAATAATTGATGATCTTTCAAAGAAATTCGAAAGTTACGTTGGTTCCCTGTGACGTGCGTTACTGCACTACTGGTGATGTCGATCCCAGATTGATGATATTGCTATTGATAGTAGTATTAGTAATAAGTAGTAGTAGGGAATATTGACGGATCACCAGGATTTACCAACGTTTCGGCGCTAAGGCCATCATCTGGGTAAGGTAGAACACTGGGTGAAAACATATGTGATGAGCGATAGGCGATAAATTGGGTTTGNTTTTTGTTTGAGGGCATACTTTATGATTTGGTGATTATATGGTTATGAATAGGAGAGAGAAGGAGATATGTGAACAATAATACTGATGAGATGGTGTTGAAAATATGTGATAAGAGCAAATGGGTTAATGGAGATATTTGAGTTCTTGGATGAATCGCGCTTATTAGAAGCAGGTAAAATATTAGAAGCGCGATTCATCCAAAAACTCAAATACCTCCAATAATTCCCATGATAACCCATTTGCTCTTATCACATATTTTCAACACTATTCATAACCATACAATCACCAAATCATAAAGTATTATCATGATAATGCCCTCAAACAAAAACCATCCACTACCAACAAACCCAATTTATCGCCTATCGCTCATCACATATGTTTTCACTCAGTGTTCTACCTTACCCAGATGATGGCCTTAGCGCCGAAACGTTGGTAAATCCTGGTGATCCGTCAATATTCCATACTACTACTATTACTAATACTACTATCAATATCAATATCATCAATCTGGGATCGACATTACCAGCAGTGCAGTAGCGCACGTCACAAGGAGCCAAGGTAACTTTCGAATTTCTCTGAAACGTCATCATGAGCGCGCACCTAAGAAAAGAAGGAAAAATCAGTTTTAACTGATGATCAATAAAAATGTTTGATAATGTTTATGAAAATCCACATCCAACTAATGTTATTCACATACCACGACCCAATGCTTTTGTTTTTCATTGAGGTGAATCCCAGTGAATGAAACAGTGAGATGAGCAATGTCTGAGAAATCTGACAGACGTCTGGAGTTGCGACGTGGAACGGCTGATATGGCGGTCGACATTGCCATCATCATTGTGTCGGCTATTGCAGAACGTGAATCCATTCTCGAATGTCTCCAAATAGCAATGCATAATTTGAGGTCTTTATCGCCTTTCGATTCTAAGCAACGATTCAAGAATGTGAAATAGAACGCGAACAAAGCATAACAAAATGATTACAATAAGACAACACTTCCATATAATCTTTCATCAAATGTGCTCAAAATAATAAACCAAATCAACGTAAATACGAACCACCTGTTTAGTAATGGATGCAATAATGCTGATTTTAGTCGATCGAATAAAATGCTCATACCGGAAATCTTCGATTACAAGCTCGTGAGAACCACAGCAATGGAACGAAAGAGATATCTCATCTTGTTTCATTCTGACTGTTTGTAGCCCGAAAACTAAACCAATTATCGATCGTAGGAGGAGGATCTCGACTACTTCAATTCCTAATAATAGAATGTAAATCAACAATAAGATGGAACTGCATCACAAATTCCAATGAGAAATATTCGCAGAATTTACTGGAAGTGGACGAATTGTTAGTGAATGAAATGGCTTTTCAGTGATGAATGTTTTCGTTGGTTGCTAATGCGTGGCAGTAAGCAGGCAGAGAGAATATCAGAAAACAAACAGTTCACATCACCACCATATCTCATCCACATTGCGATTATCGTTGGATTATATAGATATAGGCAGGTAGGTTGCATATGATGGATAATGCATAGACGAATGAACTATGTATGAAGAAATGATTACGTTCAGTATCACCAGGAGGCTGCATGTAGCACTGATCTATCCATATATTCATCCTCCGATCTACCCGGAAACCATAATTGGAGTAGTTACTGAGTAGAAAGACACATGTAGTTATCAGAACGAAACACCTAACAACCAAAAACTACTAAAAAAGGATGTACTTTGTTACTGGAGCAGCATAACGACGCTCACAAATGTTATGCGTATGCCATATGATAAATATAATATGAAATCATTTCAGAAGCTTGCTTCATAGCGTGGATTTAATAGTGCCATTCATATGCAGCGAATGATTTCATGGTGTAAGAATTTACGATAACATTTGAGCGATACGAAAGAGAGTAATTCAAAAAGCGCAGTAACCGCATCAAGACAATACAGCTCCTCTTCTCTGGATATTGACCAGTGGTGATGGTATGTTGGTAAATTAAGTGGAAAATTGAGTGGATTAGCTGCTCAGCATGAAACAAAATGTTTAATTCAGCACATTAGCACACTGATAGGTGCTCATTAGTTCTCAGTAAAAGCACCGTACATAACTGTGGAGTCGTGCTCATTTCAATGGAGATGTGAATTGATCGAAACCCAAATTTATATTGCCTAGGAGATGTTCAGCTTATTGTTGTTGTAGTATTACTTTTTAAAACACACTGCATACTACGTTATTGCTTCAAACTGCGGTAGTGATATGAGAGAAGAACTATAGCAATTCTGTGTGGCGAGGATGACATTTATTAATCCTCTCAACACCATGATTATATCGCAGATAACATAAAAAACTTCTGCTTGTAAAAGTTACAGCAGTGCAAAAAGTACGCACTTTAGTATTCATTATTTTGCTCAGTGATGATCGACCAGCTTTCGGGTTGAAAATTGATCAAACTGATGGCAATGGTGTTCAGTTTAGGGAATAAGAATAAATCAATGAAGACTACATTGGAGAAACAATAAAATATGAGCAATCAGAAGTTCGAGCATCTGACTAGAAAATGAAGCTTTGCGACTGCATTCGTACTTGAGCAAAACTACCTTGGGCCGACTGAATTTCGCATAGTCGGACAAAGCAACAGACGACGTCTCCAAGAAAAGGTTACTTAACGATGCACCCATAATTAAATGGATATTGACCAGTGGCGATGGTATGTTGGTAAATTAAGTGGAAAATTGAGTGGATTAGCTGCTCGGCATGAGACAAAATGCTTAATTCAGCGCATTAGCACACTGACAGGTGCTCATTAGTTCCAAATAAAAGCACCGTACATAATTAATTATTTAATGATAAAGCTAATGACGCCATCTATAATAAGACAGACTAGCGATACTCATATTTATAGTGCAATGATACTGATAGCAATGACGATTTTAATAATGGTGATAATAATAAAAATAATGGTAAAAGTAATGATAATAATAATAATAACACTGGTAATAATAACAATAGCAATTATTAGTATTATTATTGCTATGATAATAAATATGATAATAATAATACTAATAATAATAGTAAATATAATAATAATAGTAACAACAATGATAATAACAATAATAATAATAATAATTGTTATTATTATTACAGTTATTATTATCACTATTATTATTTGTATTAATACTATTATTATGATAACTGGAAACGATAACGATCGTAATGTAATGATGTGATGATGAAGAAGTAGCAAAGATAAGAAGCGCATTGAGATGCGATGATCGTTTAATGGCGATGAAAATGAATGAATAATTTCTCAGTAAGGACAAGTGAACGTCTTAAGGGCTCAACATATTGGCTTCATTATAATCAAAACGACTGGCAATCGGTAATCAATTGAAGGCGATTAACGACTGTGCACAAACCAAATGATTGGTTCAGTAATTTTGCAAATAGTATTGTGGCCATATGAGATGACAAGGGGAGGAAAAAAACGAAGAAAAAGTAACTGAGCTTCTATATTCTGTCGAAAAATATTCATTTTTGACGGAAATTATTGCACATAGCTCACACAGACGGATGGTCAAAACCATTTCTCTTATACTGACTGTAATATCTTCCAATAGATTTTCTTCAAAGAATCCCTTCCTTCTACTGCAAAACTTCAAATGTTTGAAACCATCTTCTAATTTCCTAGTGAAGAAAGGCTCTACGCTAAAGAAGATTTCTTCTAATCTCTGTCCCTACTTATGGATATAATTGCTCAAAGTTCCTCTATTTCGTGCTCAAGCTCAATCAAATGCACGTGACGGCACATATTCTTGAAGCACTTCATTTCAGCTCACATCTTAGCATCAACTAGGTTTGCTAGTAACGAGTTCTTAAGTGCAATAAAAGGACTATGGCAAAAAATACGAGAATGTAGAGTAAGACATGAACTGAATGAAAGTGCTTTGATCATACGAACATTTCAGATAGAATGTCTGTTACAACGCAGCATTAGGCGAGGTTATCATTGATGAGTGAAACTCAAACTAATTCACTGCTTCCGAATATTCAGCAAGTGATTTATATCAAACTATCCAAACGCAAATTCAGCATATGTACGATACATGCTCGAATATTGTGCATGTGCCCATTAGTTAGAGCGCCACCAGATGCACTATTGTATTTTGTCGCTTCAACAGCTCATAAATTCGCTATAACGCCCATCCCAACTCTCACTGATAGAATACCTTACAGACTGTTGTTGAAAAGAGCTTGTCTCTGGTCAAATGAATCTTCTGAAGCGTTTCGAAGGACTACGTACCTAGATTTGGGCTTGCCAGGTATACTTGCTTATCAACAAAAGAATGATATTTCTTCCCTATTAAATTGTAACGTGCAAACAGTACGATAAAAGTGAA